CCAGGCTCTGGGTGTTTCTTGGTGTGCCTACCGGTTTTGACCCACTCCCCCCTCCAACCTAGTTTAAAGCCCTATCAATGAGCCCTGCCAATTCACGGGCAAGCATCCTTTTCCCTCTCTGAGACAGCTGGAGACCATCTGCCACCAGCCGGCATGAGGTCCTGAAGACCTTTTTCTCCTAAAGACCACTAAATAAGCTTATCCAATTACAGAAGGACACCACACTGATTGGTTGGCTGGGGCAGGGGACACTTCAGTTTATAGAAGTGGAGTTCAAAATTAAGATATCCATTATGACACTTTGGACAAAACCATAACTACTTACTACACAACACAACAATGTTACATTTTAAAATAGTATCAACATCACTTCCATATGAGTTTAAAAGTATCAGTATCACTGTTTGTGTGTTAGAAACAAACCCGTTCATGCTAGATTATCACATCATAAATCAATTTTTGTCTTACTTTTGTGCCATTGGTGTAAGAATCTGTTTCATTTCATCCAAGATGGCCTCCCTCTTTTCAGGTTGAGCTTCTAACACTTTATCCAGTGTTGGGACAACTGGTGTCTGAAATGAATTCACCATAAGGTTTAATTACTCCCAGTAAGCATTGAAGTTCACAGAAAATTACAACCTTTAGTCCCCTTTCAATCAAAACTCATGAAAAATATCACAAACAAAATGAATTTTCTGCAAAACTAACAGTTTTTACAATTTCAAAAATAAAAAGTTTATCTACTTTGAGAATGTCAGAAGATGTACACTTAAGTTCCTCCGAAGTGAATATTCCTCATTAGGAAACAAAAGTTACTTCTGTGGTTCGAAGTGGTTTTTGCCAATTATGGTCAGCTCTGCATGAGACTGACTGATACTACGCAAAATACACAAAAGTGGCATTGTGGTAAGGGACTCCTGAGCTTAGCAGAAACCCTGCATGAGAGTGTGCATAAGGCAAGGGGCAACACAGGACAAAGTCAATGAACTGAAAAGTTAACCAAGGCCCAGGGAATTCCAGTTCAAGAACAGCAGAGAGGAGAAATATATACCATATACCTTAAATACAGAATACTTAAATACTTAAATACTCCGGGTATCTCATGCAATCAATTACCCTCGTAACTCGTGTAAAAGAATCTGTTGTTAGAGCAGCCTGACTAGATAGAAAATTATAAGAAATGTATTTCTAACCATCCATACTGGAGAGGGAAAGGGGATGGCAAGTTGGAGGCAGGAAGGGGAAGTGTGAACCACCTAATCAAAACTCCAAGAAATACCAGGTCTTGTTAATGATTACATCATAATTTCTTATAAACCCACGTACTGCTGAGTCTCAGGTTTCCACAGAAATATAAGACTACTTGAATCACTCATGCCATGAATGCCAGAATGATGGAAGCCAACACTGCACTTGATTTCAGAGGCTGTTTTACTCCTCCATAAATTACAGCCTACAAACACTGCAAATATGCCTCTCTATTACAGTTTTGAAAAATGCTTTATTAAAAAACTTAAAATACCTGTAAAGAAAAAAATAGCAATACGGTTCAGAAATGAACTGTGAATTTCTTATACAATCTTAACAGAAATGTTGGGTGAAAGTGTGCTGTGCTGTGTTGTACACCCGGGTGCAAAAGTCATTCTAATGTAGTTAATAATTGTGTAAAACAGTTTTGTGCTTTGTAGCAAACAAAACTATCTGTGCCTCTAACAGAAACCAACTTGCCCAGACAGTCAAAATTAAAACAAACAAACAAACAAACACACACCAAGTCAAAAAAAGGAGGTTGTACTTTTTAAAAAGGTTCCCACTGTCTGACGAGGATCTACATCTAAATGTTTTCAAGAGAGTTTGGACTCAAGTCCTATAGTCCCCACAGGAAAAGAAAAACAAAGCCAAAAATTAAGCCTAAATGGCATACTTTATATAGATCCATGCACATTCTGCCTACACCCAGTTCGCACGAGATATAAGGCAGTTCTGAGATAAAAGCCACCTACAGCATTAATGGAGAATTAAGCCTAAATCTTACCTCTCAGGGTGACCACTTCAGGCTAGACATTGTGACACTACGATAACTGCAACTATGTGGTATCAGAATGTCTCTGATGGGCAGAGGAAGCTCATATGTGAACATAGTATCTTTTATATAGTTCAGACTGAAAAAACATGACAATTTAATCTAGCATAGAAATGTGCAAGTAATCGTAATGTTCATATATGCTAAACTAGACTGTATTTGGACAGCTGGCAGGATTAAATTTAATGAAAAGAAATAATAGGTACCATAGGCAAGGTATCACTAGCACAACACCTGAGATGCTAAAACACCTTAGACAAGAAAGTATTGAAATGTCACCTTGTAAACCTGGAAAGTATTCCCATATAGTTCTTCTGTCAGCATATTCCTCTGCTGCAAAATGGCTTTGTCATTGTATGCATATTCCACTACAGCAGAAGCTTCGGCATGACGTAGCATTTGTTTGACATGGCCCTTAAAACTTTTTATTATTTCTGCAATTTGTGCTTTTGTCCTGTTTCACAGGGAAAGGTAGATAGCAACAGTTAAAACTGTTGGGATACACTGACTTGTCAATAGTTTAATTTTCAGAAACACATTTAGGTGGTAAGTTATAGCTCAGAAACCAGGAAATATTTGCATTTGGATCAGCCTTATGGCATTTATAACAATATGCCAAGAAAGCCAGGAATCTGGAGAAATCATACGGTATTTTGAGGAAAAGAAACCGTTGGATAAATTTTACAGAATAAAGGATGCCTTAGTAGAACACTAAGCAGAGAAAATTTTTAAAAGCCATTTTTTTGTATAAAGGAAAAGATTAACTTTGAGCATATATTTGAGCTTTCTTGGCACAGGTTTTCCTCTGTGTGTACAGCTTTAGCTTTACATTTTGCGAAAGGAAAACTGCTGTTAGCAATACCACATGCTCTCCTGCCTCGTCACTGTTAGAAAGATGTTTCCAGAGACATATTTTTTTAATACACAGTGCATCAGTCAGGATTAAGAGCAGCATTTACACTGGAAATGAAACAATACAAACACAGCTAAGCAAATTTCCTTCATACTCACCCATACATAAGAAACTTCTTCACAATATTTCTGGAATATTTTGACTTGCTCAACTCCACTAGGCTATCTAGAAGAACAGAAAAACATTCAGCTGGTTTGATTTTTTGTTACATTAACTCTACCAAACAAGATGCCATAATATAAGTAAGTTTTAAGACCTCACTGAGAACTATGTGTCATTTCAGAAGTAAGTCAGAAGTATTCAAGAGGAAATGATACGGCTTGCTTTAATGCACCCTAACAACAATACAGAAGCATATAGGTAAGATGTAAATGAGAAGAAAGTACCTTTCAGTTCTTCAAATGTCTCTTGCCTTTGCTTCTCATTGCCATACTGAATAAAGCACTGGATCACTCGAGTTGAATCATGGGCAAACGCCAGCTACAGGACAGAGATATCTCATTATCTCAGGACGTTCAAACAGCACCAAATTTATTTTAATGTACTTGCTTTCTGATACAGTGTTATGCCACATGTAGCATGTAATGCTGATTATAAAAGTAGTTCACTGTTTCTGACAAATTAAGTTGTAAGGGGTTTTTTACAAACCCTTTGAACAAACTGTAAACGATACATGCAGCTGCGGACAATTAAGGACATGCATCACGGTTTTAATACTGAAAGGAAACCATTAAATGGTACCTCGTTTTCACTCATGTTCTTTGTAATTTCAGAGTGAATGTAATGATACAGTTCCAGTTCAGCACAGAATAACAAGAATTACTTCAAAATCCAATACAGATTTCACTACAAACGTATACATTTCAAGGATCAAGAGGAAAACCACTTTAATATAGTTAAGTATCAGAACACTTAACGCTTATGCTTCACCATTCTTTAAAGCAGCTTTTGTGAATTTGTGCTCTATACCATTAGTTTTTCTTACACTTTTAATTTTTCCATGAAGAAGCTTCTGTAGTTCATTCATCAGCTTTTCTCGCTTCTCCTTATCGCATTTCTTCCTACAAGCAAAGAAAACAATCTTAAGTCAGGAAGCAGCTTTTTTTGTAGTATGTTTCACTTATATCTTCACTTTATATCTATAAATTAAGAAGCAAGACAGTGCAAAATAAAATTAAGTTAGCTCTTGCTAATCTGAATTTATATTGTCATTCATTTAACCTGTCATCAGATGCAATTAAGCGTTCCAGTTCCAACAAACCAAACCAGATTTTCACACTTCAAAATTATTCTTTTCTAAGAACATTATTAAAAAGAACACAAACTCAAATTTGCAGCCAGATATTTGTATCTGTAAGCATCATGCAATCAAAACTGCAAAGCACAGACACTATAACCAAGTAAAAATACCCCACCAAACTACTCCTTCTGATGTGGGGCCTCCGTTCTAGAACTACCACTTGCCCAGAGAGTATACAAATCTCCACAAAAAAACTCATGCAGTGATCCCACTGCAAGATCAGGGTGAATCAGTACATGCTCTGCGCCTCGGGTTCAGAAAATAAGACAACTCCTTAAGCATTTTCTCAGAAATTTTAGCTTCAAATACAAGTGAGCTCAACCCAGATATTTCTAGCATCCGCAGTCACCACACTACTTAAAACAATCTACAGAACTAAATGTAACATTATCATTCACCCATGGAATTTCACAGTGGAAATACAGTTTCATATAATTACAAAAGGAAAAAAAATAGTCTTGCAACCTGTGATTAAAAGCTAACTGAATGAAAGAAAAAAAAATTATTACCGTCTCACACTTTCCCATATTTGCTTTGATTTTACTATAATGTCATAGTTATTTTTATCATTAAGTTGTCTGGTCTGCTTTAACTCCTTCCTTTTCTTTTTGAAGTCACTCCACTTGGGCTTTTTAGAATCTGGCCCTAAAGACAAAAATAAATACATTTTTATAGTCAGTAAAAGAGGACCTTCATCAGTATAAACTATGGCAGCACTGAGACTTGAATTGCTAACAATTCAGGAGCTTTGTTTGTAGTTACCCAGCTAGCTAATATGAAAGCCTAAGTACTTAGTAAGTATGCTAAGCTAATTTCCACTTCTGGAATACTGGAAGAACAAGGCAAACAATTTTTCCTCCAAGCTCTGTCAAAGAATGCAATGCAAACCTCTCAATTACCTGAAAATGGACTAAAAATGCACCTAGTAGCCTGTGACTGCCCCAGGTAATTCTCCCTTTCTAGTTCATCCTTTAATCACACATACCTTTTCCATCTCTCAAAAGAGGAACCCTAACTCAAAAATATTTACCTGAAAACTCAGTAAAACAAAAAAATTAAAGCCTTTTTACAAGCTTGATCTTTTTATTCATTCAAATCCCTTAAGCACTGGATTTTTTCTAAAAAAAAAAAAAGCTATACACTGCCACACAAACTCAGTTAAGGTAACTTTGTAGATATGCTCACAAATGAATTAAAGAAAAACGTTAAGAATACGATTTTAGTTTTATCCATACCTTGTCAAAAACCATCACCTTACATTACATGGTTTCAGAGCGGCAAGTCATCCTAACTATTACTTCTATATGGCACAATAAAGACACAGCTTTAAATTTTTAGATGTTAAAGCGCTGCTTGTTGGTACTCAGCAGCACTTACTTAACTGTCCTACCCACCTAAAAACCATGTTCTCTTTCTACAAGGCATATTATCAATTTTTTCTATCACTCTCCTAAAGTAACAGTGACAAGCAGCACCAGTGACACTTTGCATTGAGAGCTGCATCACTGTGCAATACACAACATTTAAACAACAAATAAACAACATTTAAAGGTTTATTCTTGTGTTCTGGGTTTGTGGGATTTTTTTTTTTGTTTTGTGGTTTGTTTGGGGTTTTTTTGGTGGGTGTTTTTGTCCTTAAAGCAACTTAATATGAACATTCTGCTGCTATTAAATTTCCAGACATCTGGCGCATATTTTGTGTGAAGCCTTTCTGCAAACATGCAGCTGCAACAATAAAATATTCATCACCCTCTACTGCCCTTCAAACATCTAACATCTTTTTGCAGAACTTCAGACTCCCTCACGTAAGATTCCACTTCCCATTTTGCAGTGCTGTTTAAATTGTCACAGTAGAGCAGTTCTTCACAGCAGAGAAACGGCCAACATGCAGTTCTCATGTACCAGAAACAATGTTAAAAAAGAGATCCATTTAAATAGTGATAAAAACAGCCACTTATTTAGCCCCTCTGTATAAACACAAAAATAAGCTGTAATACGTAAAAAGCAGTGATAACACCAATGATGTCTTCTATTTTTTTTTAACTTCGCATGAATGTTTCTGTTCCAAATTTTGTAGCCAGTACTTTTAGAACAGAGAAGTAAATTTCTGAAGCAGTCGACAAAAAACTGAATTTTTCCACATTTGTGTGAAAACAGCCAGTTTCAAGCTAGCCACTTAATACCATCATTAAAAAAATCATAGCTTTATGATAGTGTAACAGGTTTTTAATATTGCTGCTGCATCTTTACTTCTGACTTCCAAGAAAATATGTAACTGTCAATTCCCATTACTTTGTCCTCAAGCTTAGTCAGGTGAAATAATTTATTCCACAGCAAAGATTAACCATGAACTACACTTGGAGTCATTCAGCCAATTTGTAAAAGGTAGTAATAAGGCCAAGGGAAAAAGGAACACCTAGATGAACAATGTGTTTCCCAAAACATAGCTTCCATTGACATCCAAGTTTAAAAATCAGCTCACCTCCCTCCTCACCATCCTGGAGCTTTCTCTTCTTTGCAAACTTTTCTGATTGCGGTTTATTCTTGAACTGTTTGACACTAGCTCTTCCAGGTCTTAACTGCCCTTTCACAAATTTCTTGGAAATGGATTTAGGCTTTTCTTCCTCATCTCCTTTGTTAAGAAGTTTCTTCGGTGGACCCGAATCTATTAATCAATAGAACAGAAATTAAAATGACATCCTAGAGCTAATGTTGCTTCAAAACACTGTAACAAGATTTAAATTACATTTTAATAACAATTATATATCTCTAGTTTTTCCTAGAGAAGTTTCGCCCAGGCACTACTTTCCAGACAGAAGTATAATGTCCCAGGCATAAAAAGGTTTATTCTAAATTAAGAATTTCACCACTCCTGACATCAAACTCACTAATCCCCAAATAATTTCTTCACAGTTTATGGTCAGAGCTGTTTTGACATCATCTGTTTGAAGCAGAGGAGAGTCAGCACTGAAAGGTATTTACTCAAACCTGACCCACAGCACTTCACATACTCTAGCTTCAGCTCTCAAATAAACTCTTTGTTAATATGGGAAAGCAAAGTATAGAATCAAAAAGTTATCAACTTCCAATTTTTAATTAAACAAGTATTTTAGGTCCATCAAATACAGCCAAAGGGCTTGCAACAATGCAATCTATTTCAAGCACTTCAGCTTTACTTTTTCCAGGTTATCTGATCATACAATTATTAGTATAGTTTTGGATGTAAGACAGAATCACAGAATGACTGATGTTGGAAGGGACCCCTGGAGGTCATCTGGTCCAAGTCTCCTGCTCATACAGGGCCATCCAAAGCCTGTTGCCCAGGAGCATGTTTGGGCAGCTTTTGACTATCTTCAAGGTGGGAGACTCCACCATCTTCCTGTGCAACCTGTACCAGTGCTCAGTCATCCTCAGAGTAAAGAAGTCCTTCCTGACATTCAGAAGGAACCTCCTGTGTTTCCGTTTGTGCCCACTGCCTCTGGTCCTGTCACTGGGCACCACCAAAAAGAGCCTAGCTCTTTGCATCCTCCCTTCAGGTATCTGTATACATTGACAGGATCTCCCTCAGCCTTCTCTTCCCCATGCTGAACAGACCTCGTTCCCTTGGCCTTTCCTCATAGGAGAGATGCTCTAGTCCCTTCAACATCTTCGTGACCCATCGGCGGGCTCCCTCCAATATGCTCATGTCTCTCTTGTCCTGGGGAGCCCAGAGGTGGACACAGCACTCCAGGTGTGTGCTCCCCAGTGCTGAGGAGAGGACAAGGATCACCTCCCTCAACCTGCTGGCAGCATTCCTGATGCAGCCTGTGACGCAGTTAGCCACCTTTTCCACCAGGGCACATCCCTGGCTGATGTTCAACTTCCTGAACACCAGAAGCCTCGAGGCCTTTACTGCAACTCTGCATTTTCCTTTTTGTAGTGCATGGATTTGTTCTCCACCTAAGTGCGGGACTTCGTGTTTCTCCTTGTTGAACTTGTGAGGTTACTGTCAGTCCATTTCTCCCACCTGTGGAGGTGCCTCTGAAGGGCAGCACAACTCTGGTACATCAGCCACTTTTCCCAGTTCCTTTTCACTGGTAAACTTGCTGCTCTGCCCCATCATCCAGGTCATCAATGAACCCAGTGAACAGCACTACACACCCAGTACTGACTCTTGGGGTACACTGCTACTTCCCAGCCTCCAGCTAGATTTTGTGGACTGATTACCATTCTCTGGGCCCTGCCATGCATACAGTTTTTGATCTACCTCATCATCTGTTCATCCAGCCAATAATTCATCAGCACCCCTGCGAGGACAATACGAGAGACACTGTCAAAAGCTTTACTGTAGTCCATGTGGACAACAATCACTGCTCTTAACTCACCTACAAAGCTAGTGATTTCATGACATAAGTTTACCAGGAAAAATAAATTAAGTTCAACCATGCTCGTGCACAACAAGAATCGCTCAGTCAGGACCTCTATTAAGGAGCCTTTGCCTTCATAACATTACCTTTTTTAAACTTCCTTTTCCCGTGTAGCATTTTTCCACGAGGTGTGTTTCCACTCTTACCCACGAACTTCTTTTTGCTCTTGGCTTCCATTGTGGCACCACTGCAAAGGGAATAAGAGACAGCATTACTGGACCACCGGGTCTGTCTTGCTACCGATAAAAGACAGGCTGCGCTTCCCAGAACACAAGTTAAAACCTTCCCAGTGCCGGCTGCCCGTCCCTAGGTGGGCGGTACGGGATCAGAAGAGGCTCTGCAAGGCCAGACCGCGGTTCGCCGGGCCTGGGCGGCCAAGGTCCCGGTCCGCTCCCCAGAGATCCCCAGACCATGCTCAGTGACAGCGGAAGGGAGGACGCAGCACGCCACTGGCCAGCAGTCAGAAGCGGAGGCCCGCAATGCAAAGGTACTCCGCGGACCAGCCCCCCCGCCTCCGCCACCGCCCCGCGACCCTCACCGAGCGCCACCGGCCTCTCCGATTGCCTTACACGTGCCGCCCCGCCCGCGCTTTGCGGCCCCCAACCGGAGTGCGCGACTCCCCATTGGTCCGCCCGGCCACTGCCGCACGACAGTGCCGAACCAGCGTGCCGTAAAGCGCCGTGCAGAAGCGGAAGTCCGCCACGTATTGCCGTCAGGGCTTTCTCTTCGGCCGCTTGTGAGGGGTGGTGTGCAGTAGTCGCCTCCATCCGCTTCGGGATCCTTTGTCGTAGTTCTCATTTGTGTATATTCTGGACCCCTCAAAAGGGTGGGCTGCGGTGAGCAACGGCCTCTCGTTCCCTTCCTCGTGCTCCTGCTTTTGCTTTCTGCCTGCCCCTCAGCCCGCTTTGCAGCTAGGCCAGCAGGCGTACCGCCATCTTCTGCTGCGTGGCTTACCAGCGCCCGGCCTAAATAAAATCATGGTTTGAAACCACAACACCAGGTGCGGCTGTTACTTTAAAAGTATGTGGATGTGACCAGCTGTGTAAAGCATCAGTGTCAAGGGTTCTTTATATTCGAGTGTTAAGTCATCAGTTCCAAATGGTTCCAAGGGACCCGTGTTCATCAATTTGGTAATCATTACACTTTTGTGATTACAGTAGCTATGTCTGGAAGTCAAGAGCGTAGTAAATACTTCTGTAATACCACCTATAGTATATTTGACTAAAGAAGTGACGTAGAGAGAAATTACTTGGTGGAGTAAAGCTTTTTCTTCAGTACAGCCGGTCATAGTACTATTTTCCTTTCAATTTGCTCCTGGTAAGCACTTGTCAGTGAATTGCAAATAGGACAGGCATAGGCAGGATTAGGCTATTTAGGTTTCCTAGTCCTTGAAATGTCAACATCATGCCTGCCAAAATCATGTGAAAATTGCATGTTTTAAAAGGGGGCGGGGTGGAGCGTACATTTTGAAGCTTGGTTTAAGTCAGAGGCTGTAACATCACAAGTTTGCATGCTCCCACAGCCCAAACACTTTGCTTCAGTGTTTGGAACAACCTCTGCAGATACTTGAGATAATTCTGTTCTCCACTCTAATTACATGTTCCAAGGTTTGGTTTTTTTTTGGTGGTTTCTTTTCAAGAATTAAGACCATGATCAATTAAGACATTAGAAAATGTTCGGCTTGGTTGCTATAATACAAACATATATCTTTAATAAAAAAATAATTAAGGGTTCCTTAAAGATCTTCAGGTACCTTAAAACAGGCTGTAATTGTAGAAGATAGTTCTTGACCTAACCACATCTCCAGGATATTCCCAAGTGTGTTCAGTCATGTATAAGCACAGATGTTTAATATAGTTTTTTAATGTCTGTTTTATTCTATTCCGGAGGCTGCCTTGATTCCACAGAGATAAGAATCATAACACAAACCAAAAGATAAAAATTCAGAAAAGTGAATTTGTAATTTGTGAACAAGGTACGTAATGTTGACATTCAGTATTATCGGTCTGTCTCTCTAGTGAAAGCATCATCTCAAGATCCAGATTTACATTCAGTTTCTTCTAAAATTGTGGTTTACATGCCTAATTGTCATTACACCTTCAGCATGGTATCCCAAGCACGTTTTTGTGTACCCTTGAAAATGTGGTTCTGACAAGGTTTTTTAAACAAAAAGAAGGATCATGCTCTTTGGACAGCAAAAACAGGCAGGAAGAATTCCAAAAGCAAGAAGCACGTTTCACTGAATAGTCATAGGCTGGATAAGATCATGAAGTGTCTAGAGCCTTTTCTTCTTTCACCCAGTGCACCAACATCCATTCTGATTTGTCTGCGGAATAAACTTGCTGTAGTAATGCCAGAAGCATTGCTAGCATACCTGTACCTAGGGCCTGTCCCTGTTGTGGCACATTCCTGGCACTGGCTTCCAGCTCAAGGAGAACTGTGGTGAATTCAATACTACTGAATGCCATACCACTTTATTTCTCAGAAACAAACAAACAAACAAACAAAACCCAAACAAAAACCAAACCCAAACCAACCAAACAACCAAAAAAACCCCCCCCTTTTCTTTCTTTTTTTTTTTTTTTTTTTACCATCAGCAGATGTGTAGGTGTAACTGAATTTTGCAGCCTAAAAGGTTCCCTAAAAATTCAGATCTAAAGACAGCCTGGAAGTAGTTGCTCCTGAATGATGAGCAATGGAGAGGCCAGTTACTCCTGCTGCCATGGGTAGCAACAGCAGGTTTGGTTTTTTTTTTTTTTAGGAGTGACCATCCGTTTCTTGGACTACACCACAGCCAAGAAGGCATCAGAGCTGCAGGTATGTCACTACTCCCCACTGTCCACCACCTATCTTGCTTTTGCCTGTAGCTGCCTACAGGCTTCTTGAATCATGGTTTTTAACTTTCTGAGTGACTTAGAAATTCAGTGCAAAAGTCAGCTGGGTTGGAAAAGATGATGGGATGCAATTGTAAAGAAATGAAGCCATTACAGCATCTTACTCTGGGATATCTGGTTACATTGAGAACCACAGACTAGTTTGCAGTTACGTTGTTTCATTTCCTCACTTAGACTGTGTGAGAGAGGACTCAGCTTCTGGTCATGTTTCAAAGTACAAAAGAAAAGAGAGTAGAAAAGAGAGTGAAAGTGATCGAGCCACCTATTCTGAAAAACAGAGGGCAGCCTTCCTGCGCATCTTGATACTGTTCACTTGCTGTTGTTTGTAGTTCAATATACTGGCCAAGAGTTTCATTCACATGACAAGTGAATTATATTTCCCTTTTTCCAAAGTTGGCACAAAACACTCAGCTGCAGAGTCCCCTGTACTTATTTCTCAGCTCACTATTTTGAGGGTGGATGGACTATGGCAAGGAACAAGATTCTTAATATACATGTCCTGGCATCAGTGTAACTGGGAGAATTTTTGAGACCCTCTGAATCCAGCATTATAGTTGAATGTTATGAGTGGAGGATGGCCTTTTCCCATCTTTTTTACATGTTTTCCATATAAAGACCATGAGTGCTCTTTGAACTGCAGGTTTGCCAGACCAAGCCTTGCACTCCTAACAGGTCTTGGGAATGTACTGTTCACTTCAAATTATTTGGAAATTCCACCTGAATTCTAGCAAATCTGGATCCATGTTCCTGCTGTGAGTATGCACTTAACGAATTATCTCATATATCAGCAGAGGAAAACTTGTTTTTTGGGGATTTTGGGTGATGTATTTTAAAGAAAGTACCATGTTAATTTTTGTGCCATTTCCTGAATTGTGCTATTTCCTGATCTCAAGTGTGTTTCCTGTTCTGTATTACCATCCTTTTTTATTCCTGTTTATAGTGTGTTACTGCATTAATGTGCATTTGAGGATCTCCCTCATATTAGCTAAACTAAAAACAAGTTTCTGCTTCCCCTTCCACCACTGAAGAAGTGTTAGATGAAAGATTGCTTGGGATTTCTTCACGTTCACTGTAGACCAAATTCAAATGAAAGGCAGTGATTTGAAGTTACAAGCAAACACTGGCTGTTATTCAGAGGCCATTAAACATAAGACTTATTATCCTAAGTTCCAGTGCTATTGAGCAATGCTTTGTTCACAGTAGTTTTGGATCATGATCCACAAGATATCTGACTACTGACTGATCAGTTAGCTAAGGGGAGTCTACAGCCTCCTATGAATGAGGCTGAAGTCCCAGCAAGATCAGGCTGATGTCTCATTTCAGTGTTCCAAGGTGACCTGACTGACAACTGGCCAACCCAGGAAGGGGCAGCCACTTTGAGAAAGACATTTTTATACCTCCCACTCCTCTTCGTCTTTGGTTTTCTTCACTTTCCATTAGTTTCTTTTTCTTCTGTAAGTATGGGCATCTGAATATCACTAAAATCAACACAGGTCAGGCATGGTGAGCTGAACCTGAAAGTTAACATGAGGTATTTGATACCCTCTTGGGTGCTTCCAGGAATAAATTAATTATTCTGCCTGCGGTCTCCTGTTGAATTGCTGTCTTTCATTCTAGTGACTCTTCAGCTGCATCTTGACAGTGTATCTTTTCCTGGTTTTAGCTCTTAACTTGGATCAATGCAAAGTCGTAAATACATGTATTACCTAATCAAGAAGAGTGAAAACCTGTATACCACATGACAAGGCTTCAGGAATAATAAAGTGCATACTGTCTGGAGACTTATTTTCCAACCTTTAATGGCTTTACTTTTTCATCTTTTTTTTTTTTTTTTTTTTTTTTTTGCATCTTGAGGAAAAAGCACAACTCATGGAAACTTAGCTAAGCAAATTAACACCAATTTGATTGTGATTTACTGCACTTAAATCCAGATGCATCAAGATTGACTTTGGATGTCATAGCTGTCGTGAGAATTATGAAGAAAGTTATCACAAAGATTTCCATGGGTCTGCTGCACACAGCATGCAGTAAAGTTTACTTGTTTTAGTAACCACTATAGTAGTAGTAACCACACTGAATTCCTGTACTAGGACAGAATATTGTAATTATCAGTTCAGATGGGAGGACTTGTAGACATAGACATCCAAAATGAAAGTCATCACTACTGAAAATGCAATTTATCATGAATCACTGTGTATGTATGACTGCTTACAGAACTTTAAATGCATGTCTCTGGGGTGAAGGTAAAAGAAAATAAGTGTATGCTGTTGTTGAAAACTAAGC